ACTGATATTATCAATAAATCTCTGAGCACAGGGTGCGTACCAGATATTTTCAAGAATGCCACAGTCAGCCCAGTTTTCAAATCAGGCGATGCAGAAAGCTCTACTAATTACAGACCAGTCTCATTATTGCCCATATGCAGCAAGATATTAGAACGAGTTGTCTTGGAGCAGCTGATTGCATTCTTTAAGTTACACAACATCATGTACGTGCCTGACAATCAGTTTGCCTACCGTACCAACAGCTCGTGTGAGGACTGCCTAGCGCTAGTGGTCGACGAATGGCTCCAAGCCCTTGATAACAACGAGTACTGCGGCATAGTGTTTGCAGATATTAGCAAAGCTTTTGACCGAGTTAAGCATCAAGAGCTCATTGACGAGTTGAAGATGCTTGGCATTGCTGACACTGCACTTGCTTGGTTTGCAAGCTACCTGACCAGACGCGTCCAGCGAGTAAGAGTAGGACAAGAGCTAGGTGGGGCCCGCCCTTGCACAAGAGGCGTCCCACAAGGCTCCGTGCTCGGCCCACTGCTATTTTGCATTTACACCCGTGATGCACCACAGTGCTTCCAACATGCATTGAATCAACTTTATGCCGATGATATCACACTCTATATCAGGCACAAGTCCATCCAGATCATCACAACCCAGCTGAGTGCTGACCTTGCCGCTCTGGATCGCTACCTAGATCAGAAGGGACTGGTGTTAAACCCTTCCAAGGCTCAGTTTGTCCTGCTCAGGCGACCGGGCAAGGAGCTGCCACCTGGCACCGCAGTCAACTGCCGGGGCACTTCCATAGCCCCATCTGCTTACGCTCGGTACTTAGGAATACTGGTTGACGAACATCTGTCTTTCTCAACCCAAGTGGATGCAGTATGTGCAACTGTCAATAGGAAGGTCGGAGCATTTGTCCATGCAAAGCAGAATATCAGCATTTTTGGCAAACGACTTTTCTATTTATCGATCATTCAGTCCACATTTGAGTTTGGCAGCACTGCATATATTCATTGCTTATCACAAACCCTATATGACAAGCTTCTTACTGCCAGCCGCGTAGCATTAAAGAGAATATTTTCGTTGGATAGAATGACTCCCACCACTCTTCTATACAGTCATACTAACTTGTACGCCCTTGAGAAACGTCTCAACTTCAAAACCTATGTATTTGTTTACCGCTGCCTGAATGGACTTGCTAGTCCTCTTCTGCGAGACCGCTTTACCTTGCGCGCCCATGGTGCTCGCACTGCAGCCACCACCCGTGGCCAAGTCTCTGCTGCTCTTGTTCTGCCCCCCGCTAACACCCGATATGGCTTTAGTGCAATTTCTTATTTGGGCGCTGCCAGGTGGAATACACTTCCACCGGCTTGCCGCATGTCTAGTTCACCAGCTGAATTTCGCTCATCCATCAAATTATACCTAGGGTTCCCTGTAAAAAGGCGCTGACGCCTGTTGGGAATTCCCTAGTAAAAGAAGAATAAATAATAATAATAATAATAAGTACAAATTAAAGTTGAAAGCAGCATTTCAAGTGTTGTGATTATTGTGAGGGTTTGTGTGAAATTTTAATTTTCAGCTATCACATTTCGGTAATTTCTTACTTTTTAGACGGGGTCCATGGACTAGAACACAATAACTTTTTTTAGAAAACTGCCATAAACCAGTTTTTATTGCTATATGACCATGGCACGGGCATGATTGCTGTAGTTCTGTTACCAAGCAGATTCAAAATGTTTGGCCTCAACGCACCACTCCACGAGTAGACTACATCATACATGACCGCTGGGCGCTGGCTAGTCTAGCCTACTACTAGTAGTACTAGTACTACTAGTACTACTAGTACTGCCTAGTCTACACAGACCACAGTATCAGTGGTATCAGGAGTCTACAGCATCGCGTGCACCCGAGCGCCGAGTTGTCGTTGTATAGTGGCGCATGGCGATGTGTCTGTCACTAGTGGCACTGTCAAGCGGTCACACCATGCACTCACATCAACTAACGGGTTACCATGGTTACGTACTTACTTGATCAGTTGGTCCCCATGGTCACACCGAAACATGCACATGTGTACACTACAAGTCATGCACAAGCGAACACACAACACTAGTAGTAGTACTACTAAGTACTAGTACTAGTAAGTAGTAGTACTAGTAGTCAACACACAACAAACACACACGTTTCCAATGGTAACTGTTCACAAGCAGCGGTGAGCGATTTCGCTTGTACTACCGGTACCGCCGGTATACCTGGTATACTGCAGTACTACTACAAGTACAAATGTAATACAATGTAGTAGTAATACTAGTACTACACTAGTCTACACTACATGTATACAGTAGACTCGTACGCCCAAGAACGTCCAGGCTGGAAATCTAAGAACGCCCCAGCCTGGATCTAAGAACGAACTCCAAGATTTTTAAGAACGCGACATTTTCTTGTCCGAGTACACGAAAAACAAGTCCTGTACTGTGTGTACTGTAGTAGACAAAGAACAGACTGGATGGAACTGGATCCACTGCCCGTCCTCAAGTGCTTTTACCATGTTTACGACCCCTGGCCTGGTCTGCACCAGGGAGTCGTACACCGGGGTAACCCGGGTATATACGGCTCACTGGTCTGCACCGATATTGTGCTGCTGCTAGCAATGGTGCGTTCAGTTTCCCGGTTCAGATGCCTGGTCTGATGTCTGGTCCACGCCAGACAGATTTTTCGGCCGCGTGGGAAATCCTCAACGGCTCAAGATCGGGGCGATAATAATTGCCTGCATGCAATACTGTGGACTGTGTTGGAGTGCAAGTTTTCGACAAATCTGGGGCGAGTTTCTTGTACGAATGGTCAGCCAAGTACAAGTATCGACTGGTGGATATTTGGCAGAAAAGTCGGCTAATTATTTTTAGTGCTTGCACGTGGTTGAGAGGGCCTCCAACCGCTTTTCACCATGACAGACCGTGAACTTGCTGCACTGGGTGGCTAGCCTGTTCACGCCTTTGGCCATGGCTGTAGCTCGTGTTTAGGCCGCGGTCTCACCACTCTTTATTTTGGAGGATGACCCCTGTGACCCCTGTGCCCACTTGGGCCCCGTCGTGGATGGAAGGAGAAGTAGGGATCTGGAAAAGAGCTAGAAAGAGAGAGGAGTAGAGAGAGAGAGAAGAGCGATTTATCACAGTGGATTGAGAATGGATTCGGAAACGAAGAGCCGCATCGCTATCTGTATTTTATTATGTACAATGGTGATGATTTTTAAAAACAATCGACGAGGAGACAATAGTCGTAAAATGGCAATAAATTACATAAATTGTGCACTCATAACAACAGCAAAAAATGAAGAAAGTCAAGTTCCATAACGTTTTCTTGTGACTGTCATCAGTGGAACACCGTCACATAAAAATGTAATCAACTAAAACACACACTTATATACATGTAGCTAATTTGGTTTCAGGTAGAAATACAGCAGCCAGCAAGTACAAAAAGCGAAGTTTGCACCTTTGCAAAGAACACTTTGTATCACTCACACTCTTCAAGTAATACACACGCACCATTACATTCATTCACACAGCATCACATTCATCTGCCACTACCTTTCTCACATACACTATATTCACACATTTGCAAAGGTGCAAACTTCGCTTTTTGTACTTTCTGGCTGCTGTATTTCTACCTGAAACCATATTAGCTACATGTAATTATATAAGTGTGTGTTTTAGTTATTACCTTTTTATGTCACGGCGTTCCACTGATGACAGTCACAAGAAAACGTTATGGAACTTGATTTTCTTCATTTTTTGCTCTTGTTATGAGTGCACAATTTATATTTTCTAATGGTGAGAATCCGAATAATTTCCCCTGAGAATCACCTCACTTTGCCGATGGTGACAAATATCAGGCTTTGTCGCCGGAGGAAGCGAGACGTTTACGACTTTGTTGATGAAGACGATACTGAGGAGGATCTGGTGGCAATCTTGCCCTTGACAATGTTTGGCAGGAGAAAACGGCGTTTTTGGTGCGCCCTTCGCAGTCCCGGTGCCTGGAACGATGACGTTATCCAGCACTGGGCCAACATGGGCACATATATGAGTGGGATGTCTCTGACTGGGAGAACGAGCAGTATCGCCCCCGGCACCGGCTTCATTCGCAGCAAACTTTTGCGAAGATCCAGGCTCGTTTGCTCGTATCCTTTTTCATTGTCGTCTGATATCGCGTTTTTGCTTCGTACCGCAGCTCGAGCAATGGCGCTCCATTACCATGCTCCAACTATCCATGGCTGACAACGAAAACCTTTTAAAAAACACTTCACACAACTACAATACAAGAGAAGAAGAAACTACCTGACTACAACAAACGTCAACTCAAGTTCTTCAACTCCTCTTGCACTTCAGCCAAAATTATTCAGCCACTTTCAGCTTTTCAGCGCTTCCAAAACTTGGCAAAAGGGCTGAAAGCTGAAAGTGGCTGGTGCCCCGATTTTCAGCCGTTTCCCTGGAAACCTCAGCCAAAAAAAGCTCTTTTTTGGCTGAAAGGCTGAATCGGGCTCGGTGTGACCGCGGCCTTAGAGCTCAGCTGTCTCATTTCCGCTGTCTACAACGCGACTTGCATGGCAAAGGCGAAGGGGAGTCGAACCATCGCTGTTGATGACCATGGTGACGGCCTGACGGCAAGGCAGTGATAGTATACTTTGACTTAGTTCAGTGATGGCAAATTCACGTAAAGCCGTGAGATCCGTAGATCCATTATTTCATGTGTAGATCTACACGACTACAGACAGTATTAGTAGTGGGATCTACACGACTCCCTGATGATCATGACATGACTCATGAGTGATCTACACTACATGTATGATGTAGAGATCTACAGTAACAGGATCACTAAACCATGGGCATGGTCCATGGAAAACAAAGTCAATATGAATGAGTCATAATTATTTATCTGTCTGTCGTCGGGTAGTCTTCAGCAACCGTGTTGACCAGGCGTAAAAGCCCTTTACGATTCCCTGGTTTAGACGTAGATCTACTAGTACTAGTAGTAGGTGTCGGCACTTCACGATCGATCGTCCTTCGTCCATTACTTTGTTTTCGTCTCTTTCAAGACTTTGTCCCTGGTCGCTTACAATTATTTTTCTATAGTGAGTGGTCGGCGGTACGCGAGTTGCTGGAATGGCCGCTGAGGAGAATGCGGTGTTCACCGCTTTGGGCTTGAACCAGGCTGAAGTGCCCTATCTGGGTACATTGGACGTGAATGAAACAGAGGATGAGTTGGGTCGAGGCTCATTTGCTGTGGTGTACAAGTCCAAATGGTGTGGATTGAAGGTGGCCGCAAAGGCACTTCATTCTATCCTGATTGATCGAAGAAACCAAGGACGCGACGTCGTACTGCATGATTTTGGAGCAGAGATTGCACGCATGGCACGTCTTCGCCACCCGCATCTGTGTCCCATTTTCGGCGTGGGCATGGTCGGAACAACTCCAGCCATTGTGGTGGAATTGATGTCCGACACACTGGAAACAATGAGCGTTGGTGCACGCAGACAGGACTTGCTTCAGCTGATGCGCTACATCGAACACACTGCTGCAGGTCTTCGCTACTTGCACTCCATCCCGATGGTGCATCGCGACTTGAAGCCAAGCAATGTCCTCGTTGCCAATAGTGTGGCCAAAATCACGGATTTCGGCGTCTCCAAGCTACTGCCTAGCGTTGCCGATCAGTTCCGTGAAGCCGCTCAGTCCATGACCCGACAGCCTGGCACACCGTTATTCATGCCGCCAGAGGCGTTGCAAGAGACGGAATCTGGCCGAGCAAGGTACGATCTTTCGCTTGACGTCTTTTCGTTCGGAGTGACGGCAATGAGCGTGCTGAGCGGTGTGATGCCCTCCATTGAGCTCATGTTCGCAGCAAGATCGCGCCAGGCAGCTGACGGCAGCCTCGTTGCTATACCCGAGCTGGAGCGGCGACGCGCGGACTTTGCTCGCATCCCTGACGGCCACCCGCTGAAGGACCTGCTGAGACGCTGTCTTGCTGACCCACCGGCCCGTCGACCAGATGCAGTGGAGATTCACGAATTCGTCCAGGGTGTTGTTCAGTTCTTGTCCTCATTGCCGCAGGTACGTGTTTGTTGAATTGTTAGAACTACAGTGTAGGTTAAAAGAGGATAAATACGAAATGACGTCAATGTTGTATTGTCGTGGCACGAGTCCCCAAGAATTATTAGAGCTTCATAGTGTTCAACTTCCTTTGCCTTGCCACCTGGACCTCGTCATTTTCCTGTGTTGGAACTTCTCGATATCCGGGGGAAGAGGGGGGGGGGGGGGGGGGGGGATGGGGTTGTGAGTAAATCTAGAGTTTCCCCCGGTCGTTGGTTCCAACATTATCTTGAAGCCTGCAGTCCACGAACGTTGAGACGGCCATGTACATGTACGCACATGTCTTCTGTAAAATTCCCTAGGCGTGCGCAACACACTACGTGTGCGCTGCAGACTACGCGTGCGCTGCACTCTACGCGTGCGCTGCACACTACGCGTGCGCTGCACACTACTAGTGCGCCGCACTCTAAGCGTGCGCTGCACTCTACACATGCTCTGCCCTCTGCGCGTGCGCTGCACACTACTAGTGCGCCGCACTCTAAGCGTGCGCTGCACCCTACACATGCTCTGCCCTCTGCGCGTGCGCTGCACACTACAAGTGCGCTGCACTCCACGCGCGCGTGCACCCGGTACACCCTACGAGTGCGCTGCACTCCACGCGTGCGCTGCACTCCACGCGTGCGCTGCACACTACGAGTGCGCTGCACTCTACGCGTGCGCTGCGCACTATGAGTGCGCTGCAATCTACGCGTGCGCTGCACACTGCTAGTGCGCCGCACTCTAAGCGTGCGCTGCACACTACACGTGCGCTGCACTCTACGCGTGCGCTGCACACTACCAGTGCGCTGCACTCCACGCGTGCGCTGCACACTACGAGTACGCTGCACTCCACGCGTGCGCTGCACACTACGAGTGCGCTGCACTCTACGCGTGCATTGCGCACTATGAGTGCGCTGCACACTACGCTGCACACTACGAGTGCGCTGCACTCTACGCATGCACTGCGCACTATGAGTGCGCTGCACTCTACGCATGCACTGCGCACTACACTGATTATATTGTAGATGAATGCATACGGGTATAAAATTATTCTCACACTAGACTTCTTAAAACTCGGATGTTCAGCCAATACAGTCGTATTTAAGCAAAGAGAAATGGGAGGGAGAATTTCCCTTCTTGGAACTCTCCGCATCTGAGCCTTCCAAGTTGGAAGGTTGTTGGTTTGCGCTTGGGAGATATGTAAAAGCTAAGTGTTAGGTGGTTGAATGTTTCAATGTCCTTGTCAGTGTTGTCCCTTGTTGTGGCACTAAAATGAGTAAATTATCGTGTCCGTTCTCAAAGAGAACTCACGACAGCCGCTAACAAACTGTTAAACACTAGCGGCTGGTCACAAGTTCCCAGTTGACTGTGGCCAACAGTGGGTAGCAGCACGGCTGGAAAACCGCTCACAGGCACAACAAGGTGCCTCTTGTATCTCAACGTTGGTCTTTGACCAAACCACTGCGCGTGCCTGTTGTCGCACTATCAGACTGTATAATGTCTCGTCACCTTGGTGGACTGTTAATCATGACTCGTAGGTTACTGGTCCCTTTGACTCTAGACTTCATTTCAATGAAGTCTAAAAAGAATTTTATGGTTATCACGCAACAGCATCATAGAAAAAAGAGTTTTTTCAACTGATAATCCCTCTATTCATTTGCTATTCACGATCTACGCATGCGCTGCAAATGAAAATTCTTTTATGGTTGATGTAAAGGTTATGACGTTTCGAGACAGTCACCCACCCCCTTGTAAATTATTCTGTTGATGGGTGACTGGCCCGAAACATCATATTTTTCACATCTACAATTACATCTGGCTTTGGAAATTTTATTTTCATTGCTATAAGGTTTGGCCTCATTACCTCTGTGCTGAGCTGATGAGCCTGCAAAGGACGAAACAGTTCTGTCCGCAGATTGAGTACATTTACAATTATTAATGAATATCCAATGCAGCAGAGAGAATCATGAATAGCAACTGGATAGTGCAGTTGTCAGTTGACAAACCACCTCTTCTATCACTCATTTTATTACCATCATTCAGTTGCAAGCATACGACGAGTGGATTAAATTAAGGGGGGGGGGGGGTGTTCAGGGAGCAGGTGTTAATGCTCAGTGTCGTGTACTGAACTGAACCACCGTCTTTTCTTATGTAGAGTAAGACTGGCTCAGTCGGATCAGTCAACAGGAAATCTAGAGTTTCCCCAATAATAGAGATGCCTTAACAACTTGGACAGTCCTTTACGGCACACAATAGCCCTTTTGTTACATTAGTTGTGACAGCATTTTCTCAAGGTGTGCCAGATCCACAGCAGCCATTACATACCACAGTACAGTGTGACATTAAAGCCGAGACCTTTGGTCGGTGGAGCCCCTGGTACCTCACCATCACTGCTGCCCAGTGCAGCCCCTGCTCAGTAGCTGTTTGTTTTTGTCCACATAATTATTTATTTTTACGAGTTGGGTTTGTGTATATTAAAATCTCAGTTTATAAGTACAACACTCCCTGCATAAATACTGTGATGTTAGCACAGTACAACGCTCCCTGCATAAATACTGTGATGTTAGCACAGTACAACACTGCCTGCATAAATACTGTGATGTTAGCACAGTACAACGCTCCCTGCATAAATACTGTGATGTTAGCACAGTACAACACTGCCTGCATAAATACTGTGATGTTAGCACAGTACAACACTGCCTGCATAAATACTGTGATGTTAGCACAGTACAACACTCCCTGCATAAATACTGTGATGTTAGCACAGTACAACACTCCCTGCATAAATACTGTGATGTTAGCACAGTACAACACTCCCTGCATAAATACTGTGATGTTAGCACAGTACAACACTGCCTGCATAAATACTGTGATGTTAGCACAGTACAACACTCCCTGCATAAATACTGTGATGTTAGCACAGTACAACACTCCCTGCATAAATACTGTGATGTTAGCACAGTACAACGCTCCCTGCATAAATACTGTGATGTTAGCACAGTACAACACTGCCTGCATAAATACTGTGATGTTAGCACAGTACAACACTCCCTGCATAAATACTGTGATGTTAGCACAGTACAACGCTCCCTGCATAAATACTGTGATGTTAGCACAGTACAACACTGCCTGCATAAATACTGTGATGTTAGCACAGTACAACGCTCCCTGCATAAATACTGTGATGTTAGCACAGTACAACACTGCCTGCATAAATACTGTGATGTTAGCACAGTACAACACTGCCTGCATAAATACTGTGATGTTAGCACAGTACAACACTCCCTGCATAAATACTGTGATGTTAGCACAGTACAACACTCCCTGCATAAATACTGTGATGTTAGCACAGTACAACACTCCCTGCATAAATACTGTGATGTTAGCACAGTACAACACTGCCTGCATAAATACTGTGATGTTAGCACAGTACAACACTCCCTGCATAAATACTGTGATGTTAGCACAGTACAACACTCCCTGCATAAATACTGTGATGTTAGCACAGTACAACGCTCCCTGCATAAATACTGTGATGTTAGCACAGTACAACACTCCCTGCATAAATACTGTGATGTTAGCACAGTACAACACTCCCTGCATAAATACTGTGATGTTAGCACAGTACAACACTCCCTGCATAAATACTGTGATGTTAGCACAGTACAACACTCCCTGCATAAATACTGTGATGTTAGCACAGTACAACACTCCCTGCATAAATACTGTGATGTTAGCACAGTACAACACTCCCTGCATAAATACTGTGATGTTAGCACAGTACAACACTCCCTGCATGAATACTGTGATGTTAGCACAGTACAACACTCCCTGCATAAATACTGTGATGTTAGCACAGTACAACACTCCCTGCATAAATACTGTGATGTTAGCACAGTACAACACTCCCTGCATAAATACTGTGATGTTAGCACAGTACAACGCTCCCTGCATAAATACTGTGATGTTAGCACAGTACAACACTCCCTGCATAAATACTGTGATGTTAGCACAGTACAACACTCCCTGCATAAATACTGTGATGTTAGCACAGTACAACACTGCCTGCATAAATACTGTGATGTTAGCACAGTACAACACTCCCTGCATAAATACTGTGATGTTAGCACAGTACAACACTCCCTGCATAAATACTGTGATGTTAGCACAGTACAACACTCCCTGCATAAATACTGTGATGTTAGCACAGTACAACACTCCCTGCATAAATACTGTGATGTTAGCACAGTACAACACTCCCTGCATAAATACTGTGATGTTAGCACAGTACAACGCTCCCTGCATAAATACTGTGATGTTAGCACAGTACAACACTCCCTTCATAAATACTGTGATGCATTCGTGAACCACTTTACAATCAATGAAGAACTGCACCGACAACCGCGGTCAACTGGGTACTCACTACTCAGAGCGAGGGTAGCATAGATGCAGCTAACGAGGTTCTCCCCCTTATCGGGCATTGCACCACCTCACCCTCACCGTTTATGGCACTGCATCTGCCACCCTGGTGTAATCAATCATGGTGATGGCCTGGCACGAGTGAAACTTCTCTTAGCTGGTCGTGTTTCTCAACACAAGCGTAAGCCGGTCGTAACGCGGATGTGCGAACTTTACTTTTATTTTTACATGTACAGTACATGTACATGTACATGTACTTCTGAAGGTGCTCGTGAAGGTTCTTGTTGCTTGTGTTGGTGCTTGTAGGGGTATTTCCAGGGGGGTGCTTGTGTTGGTGTTTGTAGGGGTATTTCCGGGGGGGGGAGGGGGTGCTTGTGTTGGTGCTTGTAAGGGTATTTCCGGGGGGGGGTGCTTGTGTTGGTGCTTGTAGGGGTATTTCCGGGGGGGGGGGGGGGGTGTGCTTATGTTGGTGCTTGTAAGGGTATTTCCGGGGGGGGGGGGGGGGGTGCTTGTGTTGGTGCTTGTAAGGGTATTTCCGGGGGGGGGGAGGGGGTGCTTGTGTTGGTGCTTGTAAGGGTATTTCCGGGGAGGGGGGGGTGCTTGTGTTGGTGCTTGTAGGGGTATTTCCGGGGTGGAGGGTGCTTGTGTTGGTGCTTGTAGGGGTATTTCCGGGGGGGGGGGGGGGGCGCTTGTGTTGGTGCTTGAATTTTCCGGGAGTGGGTGGGAGGGGGTGTGCTTGTGTTGGTGCTTGTAGGGGTATTTCCGGGGGGAGGGGTGTTCGTGTTGGTGCTTGCAAGGGTATTTCCTTGGGGGCGGGGGGAGTAGGGTGCTTGTGTTGGTGCTTGTAGGGTTATTTCCGGGGGGGGGGGGGGGAGGGGATGATGCTTAGGGCCTGGCGGATAATGCTTGGAAAAGTAGCGTGTTCTGCTCGACATTCTGGTCGTATTCTGCCGGTATTGTGCCCCATTCTGCTCGTATTCTGCCGGATTCGACGGACCAAGCTTTAACCCATTCAACGCTAAAGACGTATATATTATTATATGTCTTTTTCAATGCCAAATAAGGAGTGCAGAGCCTCGGTTGAACCATATAACCCTCTGGCTACGGCTCTTCCTGCTCCGCTGCTCTTGTGTGTCGGACTGATAGCCCAAGATATCTGTATATCCACTAGACTATAGTGAGCTATAGGTACATGGTGTTGCGGGGTTGAATTCCTCAATGCCTCACTGGTCCGTATTGGGGAAATATGCTTGTTGACAGCAGCAGGTATTTTGTTGGTGTTCCCGGGCGGATGGTTGATCTGTTTGCTAACGTAGAGGGGTTGTCATTTGGCTTTCGGAGAGGTTGAAATGTCCCCATACCCAGGTTCATGGTGATATCCAAGAAATCCACTACTGTATTAAAGTTTGGTTCGATAGTCATTCCCAGGTCAAAGCGCTTGAAGATCTATATCCACGTTGTTTGAGAGCTAGTTGAGCTGAAAAGTGCCCACAACCTTACCGGTCTTGGCACCATCATAGCCGCATATCGTTCCATCGAACATATAGTGTCCTTGTCTTATATCCTGGGATGACCGCTATCATAAAAAGGAGCAATTTTCGGCCGTGAATGATGTCCATATCTTGCTGCTTGATTGCAGTGAACTGCTGTGCAAACGATAGAGCAGAGAACAAAGGATTCGCTAACCAATCAAGGGTGAAATTCTACCACATCAAAGCATAGTAACGTGTGCTGTGCTGCTTGTCTGGTATCTCCTTAATTAGGCCACTGAATCACACAGGACATACAGGACATGGTGTGTCTCCATAGGTTTACTTCTGTTTGGCCACGCATAGCAGCCATAATTCTCTCCAGTACCATGTAGTATTGTTCTCTATATAGTTTGGACGATGAGATAATAGAAGAGTAAACTGATGAGGAGCAAGAACATGCACAACCAGCAGGTCAGTGAAACACAAAGAAATTCCCGAGCCCTTGAGGGAAGCCCACCAAACGTTCTGGCCTACGGGTGATAGCCTGCATGACGTACATACGGCATGCAGCGCATACGGTCAAAAGTGTACAGTGGTGTACGCATAACAGTCAGAATATTACTACATCTCCCCTTTTAAGGTGCGCAGCAAGAGAGAGAGAGAGAGAGAGAGAGAGAGAGAGAGAGAGAGAGAGAGAGAGAGAGAGAGAGAGAGAGAGAGAGAGAGAGAGAGAGAGAGAGAGAGAGAGAGAGAGAGAGAGAGAGAGAGAGAGAGAGAGAGAGAGAGAGAGAGAGAGAGAGAGAGAGAGAGAGAGAGAGAGAGAGAGAGAGAGAGAGAGAGAGAGAGAGAGAGAGAGAGAGAGAGAAGCAGGAAAAAAGCTAAAGACAAAAGAGTGGCGCGAAATGGCTAATAGAATCTGTCAAGACTGTGCCATGTGAAGAGAAAAAGAGTCTGAGAGACATCATGCAAGTATCCTGGGAAGCAATCTGAAGAAATAACAGAGTTCAGTATATCTGATGGGTGTGTGAACAGCAAGTCCAGAATGGGTGACTCTATCTGAACCAACAGGAACGGACACACCCACTTCGGACTTGGCCGGTTTAATGAGTCTGTAGGGCAGCGCTCTAGCGAAGTTGTCCTTAGTGTCTTTGAGCACTATCACTTAATGCTTCTGACTTAGCCTGTACGTACATGGCAAGATTTAGACCCTCTGTGATCTTCTTTGCCTCGCTGCTGACTTCATCGTATGCTTGCTCAGGCGTGATCATAGAGTTTTGTTGCTATTGTCTTTCATCAGCTTGCGGTATTGCTACTTACTACAGGTTTGGGGTTTTATCGGCTTTCACGATGATTTCCTGAACTGGAATTGCAATATTATGAATGGCTATATGTTAACCTTTACACACTGGCCTTATTTTTGATTCTGGTTATCAGATTTCCATAACCTTGGCCTGTGTAGAAAGACCCCTTCCTCTGCACAGAGAACAATGAGCCCAATCTCAACACCACATTTGTCACATATCAAATACTGCAGTGCCTCGAATAGTCCACCAAGCTGAATATACCAGCAAATTCTCTCGATGCCAGCCATTTCACACTCATTCATCGCAGAATGCTCCAATTGCGCAACGCTCCATTGTAGCCTATTGGCAATTGTTGCATTGGAGAGCTGCGCTGCTCTCCTTCTTTCCTGGTATTTTAATTGTGAAATTTCGTCAAGAACGGTAGAAGTTGTGAGCATTTCAGTGCAAGCAACTACATCGACCAAAAACAGATGATTTTGTATGGTCTTGTATCAGAGGGTTAAACTATCTTCTCCACGCTGCTTTTATATACATTTTTTCCTACTGACAATCTTCATTGCTTGCTCTGTTGTGTGGTTTCATGTTTGTCTTTTACCCGATTTACGCAGACTGCATCTCCACTGGAAGAATCTCTGGGTGCTTCTGCAGGCCTCGTTACCACTATACTCGACACTGTGAGGAGTGTGTCAACTGCCGTACGGGATCTCTCCACATCTCAGCAGCAACTAGGCACCAGGTTGGAAAATCTCTCTGCACAGGTTGAAGTCACCAACAACCGCATGACTCAGGTCCAGCAGGAGGTCTCTGCTGAAGCTCGCACAACCAACGACAAGATGGATGAAATACAACTGGAAGCCCGGACTACCTATGAACAAGTGGCACAGCTGAGCGACACAATGGCGAGAGGTAAATTATTTGCTGTCAATATTTCTGCTGAAATGATGTAAACGCTCCGATGTAGTGTCATCATAAATCAGGGAATGTTGGTTAAAACACAAGTGGGGAAATGGCCGTAAACACATGCCTGCCCACACAACCCTATCTAAAAATGGGAAATTCTGGAACCAGGGTTTTTTCTCCCTCTACAATGATCTGCTTTTAGGTTTGTCACATCGCATGTAAAGAAGTCAAAAATTGCCCGTTGGGTGATCTATCGTCGACAGAGCAAAGACCTCCAGCAACATCACAAACAGGTCCCCGCTCAAGTTACCCTCCAGTATAGCCTTCCATTCACCAGCACTTGGCACCTCCCACCCACCAGAACCAACTGTTGTGCAGACTCCCCACTGTACAAGTCCCTATAATACTATTGTAGTGACAGACTCCAAACTGTACAAGTCCCTATAATACTATTGTAGTGACAGACTCCACACGGTACAAGTCCCTATAATACTATTGTAGTGGCGCACGTAAAGTCACATGAGCTTATCAGTGAGTGTTTTGCGTTAGGGGTCGTCCGTAATTTTCGAAAAATTAAAAAATCCGTCCTCGTGCAAAATTGTCTCTGACCCACCCACCCACCCCCCATTTTTCCCATTAATTTTTTGATTTTTACCGATGCCGGCATACCCAGCTCGAAAAATAAGAACTCCTGACCCCATGTTTTCTGACTGCACCTGTGTCAAGTACTAGTAGCTAAGTACAGTGAGTATTAGGTCTACCGACGTCCCGGCCATGCACCGTCCTACAACTACATGAAAAGTCATGTATATCATAGTAGTAGATACTGGTGTTAGCGACAATCGATCCTACACTACGTCTACAGTACCGTACACAGTCAGCTATAATCAGTGCAACAAGTGTATGAAAGTCACTGGAGCAAAAAAAAAAAAAAAAAAAAAAAAAAAAAAAAAAAAAAAGGTACGAAAAATCAAAAAATTAAATTCCGCCAGCACTCTTGACCACCCACCCCCTTTTTGCCTGAGGACGGATTTTTTAATTTTTCGAAAAATACGGACGACCCCTTATTTGCTTTTTTTTGCGGGTCGTTTTGTCTCACACATAGGCGCATGCGCTTGAGTTGCAAGTGTACCGGTACCATGCATAATTATGCACATATGCATTTTAACCATGTGAACATGGTGTTTTTGTGGTGTGTGTACGTCACGGGGTGGACTGCATCTAGGTTCACTTAGAAGCCCATGCGCTTATTTGTGAGGGCGCGCTTATGCCCGGCACATATAGGCACATGCGCTTATATGCGCGTCACAACGGTACGATGCCCTCCCTGCTAGCATTCGTGATGTTCCCTCCATCCCTGCTAGCATTCGTGATGTTCCCTCCATCCCTGCTAGCATTCGTGATGTTCCCTCCATCCCTGCTAGCATTCGTGATGTTCCCTCCATCCCTGCTAGTATTCGTGATGTTCCCTCCATCCCTGCTAGCATTCGTGATGTTCCCTCCATCCCTGCTAGCATTCGTGATGTTCCCTCCATCCCTGCTAGCATTTGTGATGTTCCCTCCATCCCTGCTAGCATTCGTGATGTTCCCTCCATCCCTGCTAGCATTCGTGATGTTCCCTCCATCCCTGCTAGCATTCGTGATGTTCCCTCCATCCCTGCTAGCATTCGTGATGTTCCCTCCATCCCTGCTAGCATTCGTGATGTTCCCTCCATCCCTGCTAGCATTCGTGATGTTCCCTCCATCCCTGCTAGCATTTGTGATGTTCCCTCCATCCCTGCTTTCAAACAAGAAATCTGCTCACTGCTGATTAACTCCATCTGCTGCTGCAGTGCACGCCCTCTCCCATACTTGCAAAATTCAAAGTGGCATACATTACTTTCCAACTGCATAACCCACAGCCCCACTCACAGCATCTCACCTTCTCATAAACTTATCTCTTATTGGCGATGGTGCCATCGTGAGAATAAAGAATTCAAACGTGCGGTCTGTACTTAGCTGAAAAGGAGAAGATGGATCCGCACTGATGCATCCACGCTTCTAAACAAAAACAAAAAAATGTCAAAATATGGACATCAGAATAAGTTTATTAATGCGATTAATAGTATAAGTGAAGCGGACATTACAAAATGATGAATGAGAATACATGTATCTAAAATGGTTGTTCCTAATCGATTTTCTTGAGACTATCATCAGGGAAAAATCGTCTCACAATAGAGGCTATACGGAAAACAAACTACTTATAGGTTATAGGATAGTGGGGAGTATACAAGGTGAGGTGTGAAGAAAAAAAAAAACTAAAGTGGGAGAGAATACGAAAGAAATTAGAAGAAAAGATGTGAGAGTGTTCAGACGGTGTGAGCTACTACAAAAGGTGAGTGAAATGAAGGCGTGGAAGCAGGTGACTGTGATAGAGTGAGGAAGTGTGAGGTGTAGGTGTATGCGAATGAATATGTGTGTGAATGCTAGGTGAAGAGTCTCAATTTTGTGACATTTTCTTTCTGAATGCATAGATTAGGATTGTGTTTACGGATGAAAACAGCTTCTAATACCTTAAGTTCACGAAACCTACGAGCACGGCACAAAACAGTGAAGCATGAATCGTCATACACTGAGCGGCATTGGCTACTAGACAAGAGGTGTTTTTTAATTGCTGACCCTTTCGTTGTGCTCTCACCTTCAGTCCGGTCATCTTCATCTTGGTTGTCCAACTCACTCTCTTCATCACTGCTCACACCTTCTTCATCCTCTTCCTCTTCCATCCCGTCCTCTGCACCCGACGACAATCCCACGCTACTGCTCACTGCCAGTCCATGTCCGGTTGTAGATGCCATTACCAGCGCACGAGTCATGCTCCTTGTTACTGGTCTCCGTACCTGTGCTTGTCCATTTCCTACAGTCTCACGTAACTGTGCACTTGCAGTGGGTTCACCCGCTGCTGTAATAGTGTGGTTCTGTTGTGCAACTGGCACCTGTTTGCGGGGACGGCCTCTGCGGCCTACATCCCGCTCTGAAATTTACATGTGAACATGAGCAGTCAAACCGTTTGTCTTTTCTCGATGTGTTAGTCGAGAAAACGGAGATGGCTGTTTCAACTTCAGTATATCGAAAACCAACGTTCACCGGGCAATACATTGTCTACGACTCCTATTGCTCGACTTTATACAAAACTAATCTCGTACGAAATTTGATCATGCGCGCTAGGCGGATTTGCTCGCCTGATAAGCTTCAGCAAGAGCTTTGTTTCCTGAAGAAGGTATTCGTTCGGAATGGATATCCTGTTCAGCTCCTCAGTAAGCTGTTTAGTGAACCTGATATTCAGGTTGCCGAGCCTGAGTTTGGACCTGACCCATGTCGTGTATTTTTACGACTTCCATGGAAAGGTCAAATTTCGCTGGATGTGGCCCGCGCCGTGAGGACTGTGGTCAGACAAACCTATTTTGCCACAGCATTGACAACTGTCTTCACTACGGCCCGTGCGTTCACGGTGAAGAAGGATGTTCTTCCTACCCAACTAATTAGCCATGTAATCTATCATTTTGAATGTCGGCATTGTGATAGCCGATATGTAGGAAGAACCCTTCAGCACCTGAACGCACGCGTCAAACAACATGTACCATTGTACCTTTTGTCAGATGTAGCCAAAGCCCAGCGACCTGGGCGAGGCCGTCCCCGCAAACAGGTGCCAGTTGCACAACAGAACCACACTATTACAGCAGCGGGTGAACCCACTGCAAGTGCACAGTTACGTGAGACTGTAGGAAATGGACAAGCACAGGTACGGAGACCAGTAACAAGGAGCATGACTCGTGCGCTGGTAATGGCATCTACAACCGGACATGGACTGGCAGTGAGCAGTAGCGTGGGATTGTCGTCGGGTGCAGAGGACGGGATGGAAGAGGAAGAGGATGAAGAAGGTGTGAGCAGTGATGAAGAGAGTGAGTTGGACAACCAAGATGAAGATGACCGGACTGAAGGTGAGAGCACAACGAAAGGGTCAGCAATTAAAAAACACCTCTTGTCTAGTAGCCAATGCCGCTCAGTGTATGACGATTCATGCTTCACTGTTTTGTGCCGTGCTCGTAGGTTTCGTGAACTTAAGGTATTAGAAGCTGTTTTCATCCGTAAACACAATCCTAATCTATGCATTCAGAAAGAAAATGTCACAAAATTGAGACTCTTCACCTAGCATTCACACACATATTCATTCGCATACACCTACACCTCACACTTCCTCACTCTATCACAGTCACCTGCTTCCACGCCTTCATTTCACTCACCTTTTGTAGTAGCTCACACCGTCTGAACACTCTCACATCTTTTCTTCTAATTTCTTTCGTATTCTCTCCCACTTTAGTTTTTTTTTTTCTTCACACCTCACCTTGTATACTCCCCACTATCCTATAACCTATAAGTAGTTTGTTTTCCGTATAGCCTCTATTGTGAGACGATTTTTCCCTGATGATAGTCTCAAGAAAATCGATTAGGAACAACCATTTTAGATACATGTATTCTCATTCATCATTTTGTAATGTCCGCTTCACTTATACTATTAATCGCATTAATAAAGTTATTGTCTCCTCGTCGCCTTTTCATCAGAATAAGTGAAAACTCACGAGCACGACAATTCACGAATAGCGACAGAATTTCCATGCCCAGAGCAAAGTCCCATCTAACTCTATTAAAAAAATATGTCCGCAGATTGAGTAACTGTACTTCGGGTATCAGGACACTTCTCGAATAAGGACACTTTTCTGATGCCCCGCCAAGTGTTGTTATAACCAAAGTTGACTTAGTCACCTGGCCGCCATTGCTGAGACTTGACTTTCACCTCTCCTTCTTTTCAACTCACATGTAAATTGACACCATCTGCATCATGTCTCACTAACTTTCATGTTAGACTAAACTAGTTGCCTGGAAATATGTTTGCAGCCAGGTGATGTAGAGGTTATCAGTTGTCTGAGATTGCCTGAGTCTTGCTATGCGCATCAAACAGAGCGTTACAACAATGATATAGCCGGTTGTCTCTGTTTTCTCTGCCTTTGTGGCCGTGTGTGTGTGTGTGTGTGTGTGTGTGTGTGTGTGTGCGTGCGTGCCCATGTGTGCATGTGTGCGTGCACATGTGTGCTTGTGTGCGTGCACATGTGTGCGTGTGTTTTGTGGGAAGGTGTTTGTCTGCTGTGTGTGTGTGTGTGTGTGTGTGTGTGTGTGTCTGTGTGTCTGTGTGTATGTGTGTGTGTGTGTATATACATGTATATGCGTGTGTGTGTGTGTGTACTCGTGCATTCGTACATGGGTGCATACACATGTGTGTGCATATGAGAGAGTATTTATGTGCACCTATCTTATCATGTATATAGGTGAACAAGATACAACTGCAGCATGTGAACGCATAGTGGAAATGCAAAACCAGACCAACACAACTGTCCGTCAACTACAGGAGCAAAGTGCTACAACCTCCACAAGCATTGGACAACTACTGGAGCACCAGCAAGACACTAGTGATAAGGTTTCACGTGTCTCAGCAGCTGTTACCACAATTCAACAAGGTGAGTACATTTTTTCCAAGGTCTACAGTAAAACCTATAACTAAAGACCAGTGTGACTAGTGACCAGTCTACCCCTACTGACCAGTGTGACTAGTGACCAGTCTACCCCTACTGACCAGTGTGACTAGTGACCAGTCTATCCCTACTGACCAGTGTGACTAGTGACCAGTCTATCCCTACTGACCAGTGTGACTAGTGACCAGTCTATCCCTACTGACCAGTGTGACTAGTGACCAGTCTATCCCTACTGACCAGTGTGACTAGTGACCAGTCTACCCCTACTGACCAGTGTGACTAGTGACCAGTCTACCCCTACTGACCAGTGTGACTAGTGACCAGTCTACCCCTACTGACCAGTGTGACTAGTGACCAGTCTATCCCTACTGACCAGTGTGACTAGTGACCAGTCTATCCCTACTGACCAGTGTGACTAGTGACCAGTCTACCCCTACTGACCAGTGTGACTAGTGACCAGTCTACCCCTACTGACCAGTGTGACTAGTGACCAGTCTACCCCTACTGACCAGTGTGACCAGTGACCAGTCTACCCCTACTGACCAGTGTGACCAGTGACCAGTCTACCCCTACTGACCAGTGTGGCTAGTGACCAGTCTACCCCTACTGACCAGTGTGACTAGTGACCAGTCTATCCCTACTGACCAGTGTGACTAATGACCAGTCTATCCCTACTGACCAGTGTGACTAGTGACCAGTCTACCCCTACTGACCAGTGTGACTAGTGACCAGTCTACCCCTACTGACCAGTGTGACTAGTGACCAGTCTACCCCTACTGACCAGTGTGACTAGTGACCAGTCTATCCCTACTGACCAGTGTGACTAGTGACCAGTCTACCCCTACTGACCAGTGTGACTAGTGACCAGTCTACCCCTACTGACCAGTGTGACCAGTGACCAGTCTACCCCTACTGACCAGTGTGACCAGTGACCAGTCTACCCCTACTGACCAGTGTGGCTAGTGACCAGTCTACCCCTACTGACCAGCGTGACTAGTGACCAGTCTATCCCTACTGACCAGTGTGACTAGTGACCAGTCTACCCCTACTGACCAGTGTGACTAGTGACCAGTCTATCCCTACTGACCAGTGTGACTAGTGACCAATCTCCCCCTACTGACCAGTGTGACTAGTGACCAGTCTACCCCTACTGACCAGTGTGACTAGTGACCAGTCTATCCCTACTGACCAGTGTGACTAGTGACCAGTCTATCCCTACTGACCAGTGTGACTAGTGACCAGTCTACCCCTACTGACCAGTGTGACTAGTGACCAGTCTACCCCTACTGACCAGTGTGACTAGTGACCAGTCTACCCCTACTTAACAGGGTGACTAGTGACCAGTCTACCCCTACTGACCAGTGTGATTAGTGACCAGTCTATCCCTACTGACCAGTGTGACTAGTGACCAGTCTATCCCTACTGACCAGTGTGACTAGTGACCAGTCTATCCCTACTGACCAGTGTAACTAGTGACCAGTCTACCCCTACTGACCAGTGTGACTAGTGACCAGTCTACCCCTACTGACCAGTGTGACTAGTGACCAGTCTACCCCTACTGACCAGTGTGACTAGTGACCAGTCTACCCCTACTGACCAGTGTGACTAGTGACCAGTCTATCCCTACTGACCAGTGTGACTAGTGACCAGTCTACCCCTACTGACCAGTGTGACTAGTGACCAGTCTATCCCTACTGACCAGTGTGACTAGTGACCAGTCTACCCCTACTGACCAGTGTGACTAGTGACCAGTCTATCCCTACTGACCAGTGTGACTAGTGACCAGTCTACCCCTACTGACCAGTGTGACTAGTGACCAGTCTATCCCTACTGACCAGTGTGACTAGTGACCAATCTATCCCTACTGACCAGTGTGACTAGTGACCAGTCTACCCCTACTGACCAGTGTGACTAGTGACCAGTCTACCCCTACTGACCAGTGTGACTAGTGACCAGTCTACCCCTACTGACCAGTGTGGCTAGTGACCAGTCTATCCCTACTGACCAGTGTGACTAGTGACCAGTCTACCCCTACTGACCAGTGTGACTAGTGACCAGTCTACCCCTACTGACCAGTGTGGCTAGTGACCAGTCTATCCCTACTGACCAGTGTGGCTAGTGACCAGTCTACCCCTACTGACCAGTGTGACTAGTGACCAGTCTACCCCTACTGACCAGTGTGACTAGTGACCAGTCTACCCCTACTGACCAGTGTGACTAGTGACCAGTCTACCCCTACTGACCAGTGTGACTAGTGACCAGTCTATCCCTACTGACCAGTGTGACTAGTGACCAGTCTACCCCTACTGACCAGTGTGACTAGTGACCAGTCTATCCCTACTGACCAGTGTGACTAGTGACCAGTCTACCCCTACTGACCAGTGTGACTAGTGACCAGTCTATCCCTACTGACCAGTGTGACTAGTGACCAGTCCACCCCTACTGACCAGTGTGACTAGTGACCAGTCCACCCCTACTGACCAGTGTGACTAGTGACCAGTCTATCCCTACTGACCAGTGTGACTAGTGACCAGTCTATCCCTACTGACCAGTGTGACTAGTGACCAGTCTATCCCTACTGACCAGTGTGACTAGTGACCAGTCTACCCCTACTGACCAGTGTGACTAGTGACCAGTCTACCCCTACTGACCAGTGTGACTAGTGACCAGTCTATCCCTACTGACCAGTGTGACTAGTGACCAGTCTACCCTTACTGACCAGTGTGACTAGTGACCAGTCTATCCCTACTGACCAGTGTGACTAGTGACCAGTCTACCCCTACTGACCAGTGTGACTAGTGACCAGTCTATCCCTACTGACCAGTGTGACTAGTGACCAATCTCCCCCTACTGACCAGTGTGACTAGTGACCAGTCTACCCCTACTGACCAGTGTGACTAGTGACCAGTCTATCCCTACTGACCAGTGTGACTAGTGACCAGTCTATCCCTACTGACCAGTGTGACTAGTGACCAGTCTACCCCTACTGACCAGTGTGACTAGTGACCAGTCTATCCCTACTGACCAGTTTGACTAGTGACCAGTCTACCCCTACTTAACAGGGTGACTAGTGACCAGTCTACCCCTACTGACCAGTGTGATTAGTGACCAGTCTATCCCTACTGACCAGTGTGACTAGTGACCAGTCTATCCCTACTGACCAGTGTGACTAGTGACCAGTCTACCCCTACTGACCAGTGTGACTAGTGACCAGTCTACCCCTACTGACCAGTGTGACTAGTGACCAGTCTACCCCTACTGACCAGTGTGACTAGTGACCAGTCTACCCCTACTGACCAGTGTGACTAGTGACCAGTCTACCCCTGCTGACCAGTGTGCCTAGTGACCAGTCTATCCCTACTGACCAGTGTGACTAGTGACCAGTCTACCCCTACTGACCAGTGTGACTAGTGACCAGTCTATCCCTACTGACCAGTGTGACTAGTGACCAGTCTACCCCTACTGACCAGTGTGACTAGTGACCAGTCTATCCCTACTGACCAGTGTGACTAGTGACCAGTCTACCCCTACTGACCAGTGTGACTAGTGACCAGTCTATCCCTACTGACCAGTGTGACTAGTGACCAGTCTACCCCTACTGACCAGTGTGACTAGTGACCAGTCTATCCCTACTGACCAGTGTGACTAGTGACCAGTCTATCCCTACTGACCAGTGTGACTAGTGACCAGTCTACCCCTACTGACCAGTGTGACTAGTGACCAGTCTACCCCTACTGACCAGTGTGACTAGTGACCAGTCTACCCCTACTGACCAGTGTGGCTAGTGACCAGTCTACCCCTACTGACCAGTGTGACTAGTGACCAGTCTACCCCTACTGACCAGTGTGACTAGTGACCAGTCTACCCCTACTGACCAGTGTGACTAGTGACCAGTCTATCCCTACTGACCAGTGTGACTAGTGACCAGTCTATCCCTACTGACCAGTGTGACTAGTGACCAGTCTATCCCTACTGACCAGTATGACTAGTGACCAGTCTAGCCCTACTGACCAGTGTGACTAGTGACCAGTCTATCCCTACTGACCAGTGTGACTAGTGACCAGTCTATCCCTACTGACCAGTGTGACTAGTGACCAGTCTACCTCTACTGACCACTTTGCCGTGCATGTACGTTTCAACTAGCGACAAACTGATGAAAGAGCAGTAACCAACTTCTTGTCCCATTAAGCGGGCTGGCAGGTGATTGTGTGTGTGTGTGTGTGTTTGTGTGTGTGTGCGTGTGTGTGTGTGTGTGAAGCGATATTCCACGATGTAACACTGACAATATCCATCAAACGGTCAGCGTACAATGCTTGTGTGCTGTCGACTCTGCTCTATGTGTCCGAATGCTGGGTACCGCTACTGGCTGATGTTCATGCGCTGTCTGTCTTTCATCTCCGTTGTGTCTGCACCATTCTGGGCATCAGTCGTCAAGATGTATGGAATGACAAGATAACTAATGTTGAAGTTCTGGAGTGCTGGGGAGATACCTTGGACATGGAGTGTCGTCTCAGCAGACGTCGCCTTGAGTGGCTTGGTCATGTGGCAAGGATGGAGGATGAGCGCATCCCGAAGGTTCTACTGTTCGGTTCGTTTCCAAACAAGCGACCTGCCCATGGTCCGCGGAAAAGGTGGCGAGACTGTTTTCGGAGTGACGTCAAACCGCTTGACGACTGGTATGAAGTGGCCACCTCTTCTCGCTCCAAATGGCGCAAGGCTTACCGTTGTCTGCCAGACAAGCAGAACAGACCTCGACCATCACCGGTTGTGTGCCATACTTGTCACCGCTCCTTCAGTCGTGTAAGTGACAGGAAGCGACACAAGTGTACAGCTATGCGTGCCCTACCCGTAAGCCAACAGCCAGGAAGCTGTCACTGCGATCAGTGCGACAGATGGTTCCGGAGCAAGGGTGGATTTGCCCGACGCAAGTGCTCGCCAGCAACATCACCAGCAGAGGCATCTTCTGACACACTTGAGTCACCGGTTACAAACAATATGTCCTGCGAACGCTGCAGCTTCCACTGCGCCCGCTGCAACCGCTGTGTGCTATCGCGCCAAGGCATGAAACATCACAAGTGCAGCCGTGGCTCGGCCAGAGCATCCAATGCAGACCGTAGCTCCTTCTGCATCGTTTGCAATTGCGGTCGACGTTTTAGTAGACCACAGGGCCTATCCCGTCATCGCCCCTGAACCTGCTCAACCCCCATGGGGCGCACATAGCCAGAATATGGCATCGCGTCCAAGGTCCAAGGTGTGTGTGCGTGTGTGTGTGTGTGTGAGTGTGCGTGTATGTGTGTGTGTGTATGTGTGTGTTTGTGTGTGTGTGTGTGTGTGTACTTGTGCATTCGTACATGGGTGCATGTATTGGTGTGCATTTGAGAGAGTATTTATGTGTACCTATCTTATCATGTATATAGGTGAACAAGATACAACTGCAGCATGTGAACGCATAGTGGAAATGCAAAACCAGACCAACACAACTGTCCGTCAACTTCAGGAGCAAAGTGCTACAACCTCCACAAGCATTGGACAAATACTGGAGCACCAGCAAGACACTAGTGATAAGGTTTCACGTGTCTCAGCAGCTGTTATCACCATTCAACAAGGTGAGTACATTTTTTCAAGATCTACTGTAAAACCAAGAGTAGATAAACAAGAGTGTGCAACTCCGGATTTCTCCTGCACAATCTCCTGCACAATCTCCTGCACAATCTCCTGATATCCCCCCCCCCCCCCGCCGATGGCGGAATTTTTTGTTGACGTCACCTTTTTTCAGAAAAAACGCGCTTCTTGCCACAGAGCAGTGTGAGAGCACGTGCTGGGTACCGACATTGTAATGTAAGCCCGGCCAAGTGCACGAGGCAAAACTTTCCAAAAGACTAGCAGCGCGTGGGGGGGGTCGAAAGGAATACTTCAACAAAAAATTCCGCCGTGGGCCAACCCATCCGCGCGGATCCGGGAGTTGCACACTCTTCTTTATCTTCTCTTGGTAAAACCTAAAGATCAGTGTGACTAGTGACCAGTCTACCCCAACTGACCACTTGCCAGGCATGTACACTGTCATATTCAAAAATCACTGTGATTAGCGACAACCTTGTGAAATAAGAGAAACCAACTTTTCTTCTCTTTTTGGCCGGCGGGGGGGGGTGATGTGTGTGTGTGTGTATGTATGGTTGTGTGCATGTATGCAAGTGTAGTTAACGGCTGTTCTGTAGGAATCGGTGAAATCCGAAAAAAGTTGATGGTTGGCGCCCTAAACTTGCATACCTTTTGACGTATTAGAAAGGGTACGAATGCACCTCGGCTTGCACATGCACACATAACAGAGCTGGTGCAGGGAGATGGTGTTGCAATTAGGTTAGATTTCATTGAGCACAACTTTACCTTGCTGTTACGCAATATCTATATTGTGTGTGTAGGGATAGTATGGATATAAGAATAGCTATATTGTGTGTGTGTAGGGATAGTATGGATATAAGAATAGCTATATTGTGTGTGTAGTGATAGTATGGATATAAGAATAGCTATATTGTGTGTGTAGAGATAGTATGGATATAAGAATAGCTATATTGTGTGTGTAGGGATAGTATGGATATAAGAATAGCTATATTGTGTGTGTAGAGATAGTATGGATATAAGATTAGCTATATTGTGTGTGTAGAGATAGTATGGATATAAGAATAGCTATATTGTGTGTGTAGAGATAGTATGGATATTAATGGTCCCTGCTTGGAATTTGGCTTCGTGTTTTTGTTCACAACCTGACAGCTCAATCTGACATGCGCAGTGACTTGGATGGAAAAATCGGCGATGTGCAGTCATCAGTTACTGCTGTACCACCTACCGTGGAAGTCATTGTCAAAAAGGTGAGTTTTTGTCATACTAATTTAGTTAAACTCGGATGGGGAGCCAATTAAATTATGATAAAACGGAGAAGAAGAAATAAAATGAGTTATGACTAACTTTCCACCAACATATCCAGATCATATACAGTAAGGTCAGGTCGGGTCAGGTCGGGTCGGGTCGGGTCCGGTCGGGTCGGGTCGGGTCAGGTTGCCGAATGTCTCAGTACCCATTGTCAGTTGTGTGCCATTTTGGAGCACTCTCTGATCGTATATGATCTGGTTACGTTGGTGGACAGTTAGTCATAACTCGTAACATTAATTTTTGTCCTTCTCTTTTTACCACACCGTATTATCTCCATTACAAGCGCAGTGTCTTGTAGAAACCCAGTCTCTATTATAATCACACTACAAGAGTGCTTCTAAGATATACAAGTGCAGTCTCCAATATAAGTGCAGGGCTTAAAACAAACAATAGGAGGACAGAGAAAGTGTTATTACTCAGAGTTTCACGCACTAAGCGATCATCAGAAAACAGTAATGAGAAATCTGGATCAGTGTTGGTTTATATACTCACAAAGCAAAGTGTAAATAGCTGCAGCATGGCGCAAATCTAAAAGTTGTGAATGGCGGCAGTGCAAAGCATGAATGACAGCAGTGGTGAAAGGTGACAACCACTGGAGCTGGTTGTCTCTTACTTAATTAGGTGATGGCTGTAGATGGCTTAAAGTTCCGAAGGTAGTAGACCCAGGTGCTCGAAGTCCGTACACTTTTACAGTGTGTGTTTGCTGAGCTGAAACTCACACTACAATGATCACTTGCAAAAATCCTGCTCGTGGATGGAAGGTATCTTATCCAAGTTTGTTCTGAGGCCAGGCTCGATTGAACCAGGCCATCTTTCGATCCGATCTGTTTCTCTGGAGTTCGCTGATTTTTCATATCAAATTTTTGTGTCGCAGAGGGTACTCTAAGTCCGTACTGATCAGAGGAGACTCGAAATACACACATATTTCTGGTAATTGCTAACTTGCAATCCCTCGGTTACGATGAAAGCACCGAAGGGATATGTTTGGCATGTGCCTCCACCAGTATTTCTTGCAAAAGCGTAGTTCGTTGCCGAAATGCAAGCTGTTTTTAGTCGGCTCAGAGAAGAAGCAGCTGCGCTGTAAAAGCAGTGGTGGAGATGCCAGGAGTGTCAACCTTTCTACAAGGATTGGTGGTTCTCTGTAAATTCTTCTCCTCTGGCCATTGTCAGCTCTAAGCTGGCTCTTGATGATTGAGTGAAGGTCTGTTTGACGCTGTGTCCGTTCGAAATCGGTCTTGGCAAAGTTGATTTTTGCATGAAATGTAACCCAATTTGTACTTCGTATGGACACTCGAAAACCCACTCGCGTGGTATGGGACTTCTGCTTATCGTAGATCCCTGAAAATTGCTACGCGAGGAGAACATACCACACTGTCCCCTCCAAAAAATATTTGAGTCGAATACAATAACAATTTTTCTGCCAGGCAATCTTTTCTGCAACTGAACGCACAGGGCAGGTTGTGGGATAGCTGCTTGCGTGCAGTAACACTGTGCCACCAGCGCCCGACTGTGCCGTCTTCGTTACCCCTAGGGTGATCGTGACCTTCTACTCCGAGAGGGCGACATGGATCCTCTGAAGAGTCCTGTGAGTATCCACCGTTGTTGGTGATGGCGCCGTGTACTCGCTCACACGCATGAGCCCGTGGAAAGCTGTGAATACTGCTGTCCAGAGCATAGCCTTGTCTTGCGGTGCATAATGCGAGAACTCCAGAAATTCGCGGATAGCCTTGAGGTCGTTGGGTGTCACCGCACGTCTGGATGACAGAGGCACAGGCATTGGCCTGGACGTCAGCTTGTCACGGTCGATGCCCTTCAGCAAGGCCAGTATCCTGGGTGCTCTGAGCAGGTTCACCGGACCATCATTCAATACGAAGTGGTGACGGACGACTGCTAGGTATACCCTGATTGTCTTACCAGACAGTGACGCGGACAGTGACGTCATGAAAAGAACTATATCATTGACTGTCGGTGCCAGATGCCTGAAGCAAAGCTGCTGGGCAAACTGAATGTAGGACCTGACTCCAGGGCTGTAGGTCTGGCATGTCTGGGGCGCCACCGATTGGGCCAGGAGCCTGCTGGCTTGAGGGTCGACTATCTCCCTCCTGGTGGTGGCTGGAGGTGAATGATGTCGACCCCACCCATCTGCAATGTGGGGACACGGCAGCAGCACCAAACGCAGTGGATAATAAAATAATTAAGCAGTTAAGCCAGTACGAAGAGCAAAACATGACCTAACCATCGCATCGCTGTGTCCAGCTACAATGACTTTGAAGGCAAACTAACTGGCTGCTTGCGATACATATTCATTTGCCGGAGCATCCCGGTATTAATGCGCCGGTTTGGACGCGTTTGAGCATCCCGGCGCTCGCCTTACAATCATCAGCGTCCGTCGCCAGTTTGCGTATTTAGAGCATCCTGGTGCCAGCTATCCTAAATGTTGGAACGTTCTCCATTTGTTAGTGTTTGTCTTCGTTCAACATGTATATTACTCAGTATGTCGTAATTGGACACTGCTCGATTATTCTCACCTTGTGCGTTTCACTATTTGTAACGTGGCTCCTCTGCTTCAGTTTTCGTTCTATCTCTCTGGCAGGGGCAGCCACCACCCGTCTGGTGGGTGTCAGCATCCTCCGGCAGTTGCGCTGGGACTCTACGATACATTCTTGTTCTCCGATAATTAGAAATCTGCCTTTCTAGTTCTTCGCTGTTTGAATTATTATTAAATTTTATTTGTGCTGTTTCTTGCGGCACCCGCTTTTGTGTAGATTTGACCTTGTTTGCATGTCCGCGTGAGTACAAATGACATCATGCATTATTTTCTGTCACGTGTTTTGCTTTGCGATTATCGTTCAAGATGTTTGAACTGCGCCCGCTGGCCGATTTTCTTTGCTTGCTGTTTTCTTTGCCAGTCAAGCGTGGGGACGCTACGATGTCGTCCTCCTTGGCTGTGTGTCCGGTACGGGGCTGGGTACGTGCGTCTCCAGCTCTCCGTTCTTTGTTCGTTTTGAGTTGGATTCTTCAATGGTGTTTTGAGAACATTTTTGGTAATACCGTCTTCTAAATAGATCGATGCATACAATGGTTGTGTCTGATGTCAGTGTGGGTTTGCGAGGGAACCGGTGAAACATTTGGTTCTTCGAGCCTGATCCAACAGGTTTCGACTAGTAGTGTCAGCGGTGGTAATGGCGTTTCCGCCACCACCAGAGTTTGTGACTAGTAGTTTTACGCCACGCCATTATGGTACGAGCGTGGGTGAAACTCCTGTAGAGGAACTTGAGCACCGCTGGAAAGAGTTGATTTGTCGCAGAACAAACCTCCGTAGACGCCACACGCAGATCAGTAACCGCTTGCGAACACTGATTGCTTGCTCGTCGCCGTCTCGCCGATATTTGCAGCCTGATGTTCGTGAATTAGAATTTGTACGGTCAGAGCTGAATTCGGTTTTAGAAATTATGCGCAGCATGTTGGACTTCCAAGAGAGTGAGCAACTGCTCAATGAGTTGGACGAGTGGGAGGCGAAGTTTGATAAGGAGAGTGTTGGTGTGATGGCTGCTGCTGAGGCGATCTTGGATTCGCCTGTTGAGTCGGTTTCTGGCCAAGTGGCATCAGGCCAACAATCAGCAGTCGCAGAACAGGTTACCCCTGTGCCACCATTAACACCACCACACATGCGGCCTGGGCCACCTCTACCAGCACCACGCACACAGCCAACACCACCACCAAAGCCAAGTAGTCTGAGCAGTAGACTAAGTGTGACGTCAGTTGGTTATAGTGCTCCTGCCAGTAGACTTTCTGAGTGGTCTCCTCAACCAGAATCTGCTGTCGACCCCCATGTTAGCGATTGGCTTGCCAGTATGCAACGGCCACATGGAGTAAGCGCTTTTCGCCATCTGAAGCCACTAGAGCTGCCGAAACTTAGTGGCAGGACCCAGCAGTTGGTACGTTGGAAAGAAACATTTAAGCGCCTCGTGGACGAGGACTGCTTCGTCTCTGACGAATATAAACTAGCACGACTGAAGGAGGCGCTGCAGGGTAGCTCGGCCGAAGACATTATCGCGGATATGTTCGACGGTCCGGGTGCATACACTGCAGCCTGGACGGAGCTTGGGCGCTGGTTTGGTGGTTCCGATCGCCATCTTGCCTTGCAAGAGAGAGAGATTCTGAATCACCCACACATTGCCTCTGACAGGGACACCGAGTCTGTCCGAAAGTTTGCTATAAGTATAAAGCTCAGAAATGTGCTCATGAACCTGGACTTGGCTGGAGAAACGCCTGGCAGGGAGCTATTCCTAAGTGCGCTGGAGAAGCTACCCAGAATTGTAGTTATACGATTTTACGAACAACATCCAGACAGCAAATGCAACGCAACAACGTTGTCTAGCTGGTAAAACAGGTCCAGAACGCTAAGCGAGCCGATGACATCTTGGCGACAGTCGGCACAGAGAAGTTGAACAAGACACCTCCTGCGGTCCCGCCAAAGCCTAGGGCATCTGCTGTGTATGCTGTGGAGCTCAGTACTCAGCAGTGTGCCAAGTGCACTCAGGTATAATAAGGTGATCATGTGTGTACAAAACTTGTATTGGTAATAACTTTGGCATACATTAATATTTTTCAACCAAATTTTCTGTGGTGATACATTGGGTTAGTTGTCATCGATTTCCAATATCAAATTTAAATTATGAGCTGAATGACGTCATCAGTGCTACTTTTTATGTTCAGATTTCAACCCAAAACGCGGAGAAAACGAAAAATAGTAAGGCCACAAATCCTGGTGAACTGGATAGCCTTTGGGCCCTAGATAAAGGATATTGGTGGATATTGTACATAGATAACAACATTTCGCTGGAAACCAGTATCGACTTGTTTCACCATACTCACTGTACACATTTAGTATACGAAGCTGTCGTACCTCGGGGTCTGTTCAGACTCACCACCGCGA